CTTAAGAGTGTAGAATTGTGGAGATGGCACAATGCAAAGTCAGGAAATGTCTATTGACTTGGGGAACATACTAGGGATATGGCCTCATACACTGGCAGGGACTGCAGGAGATGGTGCAAGCTCACTGCTAGGGCAGCTCTTGGGCACCCAGAAAAGACTGATGGCCAACACTGAGTGAGGCTGGAAGGCCTGGATCACTGTGACAGGTGGCAGAAGAAGGGATTAAAAGGTTCAAGGCTGTGAACATGCTGAATCAGATATATTATGGGAGTCTGGAAGAACCACCTGATGACCATGTCCATGGGAAAGCTCCTTATCCACCAAAGGCAGCAGGAATGTTCTGGTGAGTGAACCAGAACACTGTGAACCTCCCCTCTGTAGGCCAGTGCTGATGGCATAAGAGGTAATCACAGAACCCAATGTTCTGATAGCAGTGACATGGTGGGCACCTGGAGCGACAGAGACCAGGTGGAAGCTCTCTATTGCATGGAGCTAGGGCTCATAGTCTTCATGATGACTGACAAATCAGAGCTGTAGCCCAGGGGCCCTGGTTCAGAGAGAGTTACGGCGATGATTATAAGTATGGCATCCAAAGGCAGTGTAGACGGAAACCAACCAGGGTATTGCTTGTTATAGTATATAGTAAACAGCAAGAATTTGTGAGCAAGAGGCCAAAGACAGTTGCCCCAATAAAAAGTCTTGATCCCTTGCTCAGTTTGTGAATATGAGTCTATTTTCAAATCTGGAATCCACAGATTGAAAAGGTAACTGGGTTCCCAAAGGGAAGAACTCTGCAACACCATCACAGTGTCACACTGGATAATTCTTCCAGTCCTTTCTCCGGGACCTATTGCCATTCACTTTAGTGAAGAATGTAGACAGGGGAAGGAAATACCTGGACATTTTGAGGACTGGGATGAAACTATCACTGGACGAAGCATTTAAGTTAACATCAACACCCAAAGACCCTCCCCGAGGGGGAACACATAGAGCCCAGGTAATACAAGGAGTCTTGGCCAAGTCCAGCTTACAGTGGGTCCACAGGGGCAGCAGACGTACCTGGATGTTATTTTTCAAGTCTCAGTATATAATTGAGATAAATGTACTTAAGCACATTGGGTCCATGTTCTGCGGGTACCACTCCAGCCAATGTAGTAAATACAAAAGTGTATTGCATCCCCAGGTCAGGAGATGATTGTGAAATTTAGTGTCCCTCTTACAGAGTAGTGGGAACTCCATTGTATCTCCATTAAATTGGCCACAATGAATCCTAAGAATGACTCTGGGTTGCTTCAAGCTTAGCCAAGTGGCAGCTGCTGTACTAATACAGTGTTTTTACCAGAGCTGGTTAACATGGCTTTCAGGTATGTGAGATGTGGCTACTCATTTGGCAAACATTTTCTTCCTATCTGAATCAGGAATGAAGATCAGAAATAGTTCAGGTTCAAATAAAACAGACAGCGGTACACATTTATAGTTTTGCCCCAGGGCTGACATCTGGACCCTCTGGATTCTACAGCACATCACATTGGTTCACTACCAATCAGGTTTGACTGGGCAGGATGAACGAGAGATGTTTTGCAGGGTGGGGCCTCTGTACGACAAGCTTCACAGGTGACTGCCTCCAGCTACCCTCACCCTGCATTTCACCTAAATCTTGTCAGAAATCTTGGCTCACTTTACATCTTCAGCAAAATGAGCCCTCCTACCAACATGTTATAAAAAGAGATTTTTGTCTAAACTCGAGTAGATACAGAGAACAAGCTGTTGGTCACCAGTTGGGAGAGGGGATGGGGGATGGGTGAAAGGGATGAAGAAGCACAAACCGCCAGTTATAAAAATAGTCACAGGCATGTAATGTATAGCACTAGGAACAGAGTCAACAATATCATAATAATACTATGTGTGGTGCCTGATGGGTACTAGACTTACCAGGTTATCACCTGTAAGATATATATAATCACTATGTGGTGCACCTTAAACTAATATAATATTGTATGTCAACTATAACTGAAAATAAATGTTAAAAATAATCTTAAAAATAAAATATAAAAAATGGCAAATACAAAGATCTTTGTCATTTCTCCACCTGTGACCACTGAGTGAGTACCTAAAATACACTGTCACTGACTGGCTTCCCAGCCCAACCAGACAGACCAGTCTGCCCCTGCACGCCCGGCATTCCTTGCATCTGTGTTCTCAAGGCAATTCTGACCCATTTATGCCACCATCCTGTGTGTCTGGTTAGGCCCAGATGGCATTTATCTCAGCAGGAGTTCTGCTTCAAGGAAGATGCAGTGTTTAATATGGGTCAAATGGCTGGGATACAAATACCCTTGAGATCATGAAGAAAGAAGACCAAAGCAGTTATTGTGCCAGTGGGAGTTTTATAAACAGAACCAACTAGTTTGCTTCAAGACAGTTAGGCTATGGGACTCGCACCTTAACAAAGACTGGGCAAGGAGAATGTTTTTTAGGTGAGACTGAGTTTAATTTTATTTTGGTTAGGCACTCAAAAATGAGATATTCTGTCACAAAAATATGTGCTTTTGGAGGAAAATACCATTTGATATCTGTAATTAAACATATGTGTAAGATTCATAACACTAGTGGGCAAGATCTACTGAATCATCATGGGTCTTTAGAAAAATATTGAATGATTTATACTAAATCATCAGTTCCCCAAATACTCTTGTCCATTTTAGGACAACTTGTTCAAAGCTGGAATGACGTTATTTTGTACCATCGACATTTATTTTTAAATGCCCATTCGCAGACAAATTTGGAGTAGATTTGAATTTCCCACTGACTACATAGAGTTTTTGTCTACTACATTGAAATGGTTTCTTTTTAAACAAATTCCACTCTATTTTTCTCCTTCTTCACAATGCCTTTTCAATGATTTACTTACTGCCAAATTTCCTCGCAGGGAGTCTGTCCCTCTGAGGACCCTCACTGGGCACCCATAGAGGCTACCAGCGTGCAGGCTGGTCCTTCCTTGTGAGGATCATGTCCTGCACTGTCCAACCCCTCGTTTTTGCTGGAAATGGCCCTGGGCAGTCACACTGCACAGTGGAGGGTCAGGGAGGAAAGGGAGGAAATAAAACCTGGACAAGTTTGAGCGAGTTTCTTTAAATACTTCATGCACACCTGTGAAAAAATCAGAGTAGAGCCTATCTGTGGCAACAGTTCAAACCCATGGAAACTAAAAAAAGACTACTACAAAACCAACTTGATTTAAATGTTGGGGGCAGCAGCTTTGTTTGGGGTTTTAATCCCATGCTGGTGGATGCTAATTCGGTAACTTTATACAGTCGCCTTTTTTTCTGGGCACAAAGGTAGAAGGGGGGTTTCTTTTGTGTTTTTCAGTGCAAAGTGATTCCGATCAGAAAGGCTCAAGGTTTCAGCTCCAAGTACCTGACATTTCCATCTGAATCTACTTTTTTAAAGGGGGGTGGGGAGAAGGTCTAGTTTTTCAGGAAAAGAACCTCTCTACACAATCCTGAAACTGATCTTTAGATTTACTTTTTCTTAATCAATAGAAAAAAACTTGATTGCAACTCAACACTTATCTGACTCTAGCTCGGGACTAACTGAATTTTTGGTTTTAAGAGTAGGGGATTCAGACATCATTTCAGGAATCAGAAATAATTGGCAGCAAGAGGGGGAGAACTGACATGAATTCTTGTTTTGCCTAATTTCTTCCTGGTTTACCAAGATTTGGCTTAATATTTCTGACTCAATTTCTCCAGAGTCTACAGAACAGGTTAGTGACATTTTTCATAAATACAGATATTTAAATGAATTCTCCTTATGCTCTCTGAACCGTTTCCCTAAGGGCTCAGCTGTAACGTGCGCAAGGCGTCTCCCTTCCTCCGCTAAGGCTTTGTGATCTCTCTGAGAGTCCTAGCGCCGTGGTCAGCAAAACTAATATTTATTGTGTGCCGGAGGGCTCAGTGTGTGTGCTTGACAACCGAAGGTTTGCAATAAAACTCTCACAGGGTAGACTCACTGGTTTTGGCATGAAATTTTGGTGGATGAGCTATGATAGGTTCGAACAATAAGAGGATGGTTTTGTATTTAAGAACGCTGTCAGGATCAGAAGCAAACTTCATGGTCTGCCTGTGCACTTGGTTCTTCTGCAGGAGTATATGTAATTGGTGGCTTGCACGGGTGTTTGCATCTCAGCTTTATGGAGCTGCACAGACCGGCAGTTCTTCCACTGGAGAGTGAAGCAGCTGGTTCAACTGGTTGTGATTGAAATGAAAACAGGTTCACTTTTGTGATGTCCCTTAATTAATTTCCTGGAACTAATTACTTGCTTATGTGCTGGGGTGTATTTTTATTGTAATTTCAAGGACCGACTCTGGCATTTTAAAAAATTATCAATATATCATTCATTTCACTAGGGAAAGTCAGTGGACAGTTTTATGCTGCCGTGAATCTGGCAGTACTTCAAGATGGTGGATTTGCTCCATACTATAGAGAAGGTGATGATGGCAAACTAAATTTTTCTACCCGTAGAAATCTATTGTTTCAACCTATTTTTATTTGAACCTTTTTGAAAGCTGCTGTGAAAATCAGAAGAGCTGGGTCTCATGGAGGATGGAGGTCTGTCCTGGAGACACAGCTGAGACCTGACTCTTCAGAACCAGGTCCTGCTTTTCAGGACTCGAGCAGCTGCAGAGCAGATGGCTTTCTTTGGCTCATTGCTGTGCTCATTGAGTTTATATAACTTACTGATCATTTGAATACTCTTGTTACACTTCCAAACTGGCTTCTCATGGGCCAGTCTAATTTGTTCATGACATGTTGAATTTGGGAGGACCTGTTAGCATTTGGGGAATTTCAACATGACTCAGAACTCTGTTGATGTTTTATGTGAGTTTTTTTCTGTGATGGTTGTTATGTGTCATGGGATTTGCAACTAAACAAACCTGGTATTCTACTTACTTTGGCAAGCTGGGGAATTTTTTTTATTTTTCTTTTTAAAATTCCAGGATGAATTATTCATCATTACTTAGAATTTGGGTCTCTTTCATCTTTGCTCTTGTACAGCAGCAAGGTGAGTACTACACAATTTTATAAAACTCTTGATTAGCATGCTCTTGAATTTATAAAGAGACACTTTTGTTGGAGCCATAATTGTTAGGGTGGGTGTGTATGGGCCTACAGATACACACAAAAAATGTAAATGAAATTTTGTTGTCAATGGCAAAATACTTTAACTTTGAATAATGTTTATTTACATTCCTACTTTTTTCTTATTTAACTGTGAACACAATTTGTACATACCAGCTTACCCCATGGACTGGGTCTGTAGGATAATGGAAATTGTTTCCCCTGAAAGTAGACAGGGTAGGTGTGTGTGCAGCCCATTCTTGATGACTGACTCCCATTAAGGTGTTTAACTTGAGGCACAGAGTTTAAAGAATACACTTGTTTTTGTCCAAATCAGGAAATTCCATTGACATTGATGTTGGTGATGTATGTGTTAGAGGCCTTTTACAATGGCCCAAAATCTGAAAATGTAAGTGAAATTAAAAAAAATATTCCCATCAGTGGTGCCTTCTTTTTTTATCTGTGTAGCCTTGACCGGGATAGGTGAGAAGCCACATATATTTCTTTCTATTGTTTTTGGATTTTAGAAAAGAAAGGTGGGAAAGTCTCCATGAATTTGAAACTTCTATGACTAAAGTTATAAAGCATCTTTCTTTGTTTTGATTACCTGGCACATAATTACAAGTATGAGAACAGATCTATAAGGCATGTATACCCCTAACACTTTTCTAGGACTGGGGGCATTTGAATAGTTGTAGCATGTAAAGTATAGAGTGAAACTCCACAATAATGAAAGAGTCCCACTGACTCTAACCTCCTACCCCTGCTCTAAGAATGTACATTTTATTTGATGAAAATAAAACCCCAAAGTCCAGAGAGCACAGTTAGGTTTATTATGAAATCCCTAGCCTAAAGCTAGCATGAGTGGTAGCTTTATTAACCCTGATAGTATTAAATAGGCCATGCTATTAATGTTTTTTTAATAATACTAATAGTTTCCAAGGTGGAAATTACTGTAGTCTAATCCTACTCCTTTTTATTAAGTATCTATTTTTATTCAACAAGTATTTCTTAAGTATTTACAATATTAGATATCTTTATTATTTGTATTTTTCTTAACATTGAGAAAATTTTAACTGTCCCTTCTTTTCTGTTTAAAATCATGCATTAGTTAGGCTCACTCATGAAGTTTACCTCCCCATTGGTGCAGAGAGAGCATCCAGGGGCCATCTTCCTGACTGGTGGACCTGCTGCCTTCTCCAGGCGGAGGGGACCCCAGGCTCAAAATGCCAATCAACCTTGTCATTAAAATGGCTGTGATTCAGTGTGAATAGGAGCCCTTATTTAAATGTGGGCATCACTTCTAAATAGTTCCTCATGACATGATTTGATTTATCATTATTAAATTGAAGAAGTTTATCACCTTTCAAGTTTAATAAGTATAATGGTACAAAAAGGAATTATAAAGAGATTTTTTAAAAATTCCTACCTTCTAGGAATTTTGAATTTGTAACTTCTGTATAAATACAAATGTTCAAGAACCTCTTTTTGTCTACAATTGTGACACTAAATGAAGCTGTCTGCCAAGTGCTTCTGTGATTAAATTAGCTGCAGCACCTCCTAGAGGTGGGAATTTGGTTGGCTTCTCAGAGACTTCTGAGGCCTGGGGAGCAATGCTTGTGTCTAATGACCAGGCTGGTTTTCCCTGCTTTCCTTTGACATTAGCCCTTGGAAACGGGTTAGCTCTCCAACTAGGTAGACTACCTCCTGTTCCTTGCTCCAGAAAGAGAGAGCTTGTGCTTAGCCTGGTCACTCCCCATTCTCAATCACATGAGCCATCACTCATGAAAAGGCTTTCATTCTGGGCTGGGCTGGCCAGCCTGTCACCTCCATTGCTCAGAACAGGGACTTTCCCAGGGAGGGCCTCCCACCTCAGAATGGGGCGTTAGCATCTGAGTTGCAGCAACAGGCACCTCCGGAGTTGAGGCCAAAAACCCCAAGTGAATTTGACACTGCCCCTGAAAAGTAATAATTTAAAAAAAAAAAAGAAGAAAAGAAGATGTTCTATTTTCATTCAAGAGAAGAGAGGACAGAGAGAAAAAAGTTACATCCAAATGTAGATTATTTCATGGAGATCATTGGACCCATTCAGCAGCAAGGTAGACCCTTGGGAAACTGCCTAATTTCTATCGCTAAACTGGGCCACCCCCTGCAGGAGTTTGGAGGAGAAACAAGCCAGGTTTCCAGAAAGGTGGTGGCACAGTCAGGTGACGTGGTGCTGACCAGGGGGTGGGAGAGCACCCTGAGCCTCCTCTCCAGAGAATTCTCTGGGGCCCAACCTCCCTGGCCCAGGGTCCCCCGCTGTCATTGGTAAACAGGAGCTGGGCAAAGAGCCTTCCTTCTCACAAGGCTGAGACTCAGTCAAGGTCATTCACAGGGCAGGTACTACAAACCCTCCCCTCCCACTTTGTCCCAGGTCCAGCTGCTGTTTGTTTCCTTCTGGGATCTGGTATCTTCAATTATGTTGGGGGAGGGAGGAGGCCCCTTTTGGGGAAAAGGCCTGAATAGTACAATTTTTGTGATGGAAAGGAGCTTCATAGCCACAAGCCACCTTGTCTGTACCTTGTCTTCAAACTGGGATCCAGTGGGCTGAGCCCTGCCAGACTCAGAGGACCCCCTCAGGGCTTGAGAGCTCAGGCATGGGTGATTTCACAGCACCCCACCAGCCTTAACCATTGCTCTCTCCAGAGTGCTTGGAAAAACAGAAATGAGGTGTGAACTGAATTCTTAGGAGAAGCAGCATCACTTCCATTCCCCCTTTCCAGGGGCAGAAGAAAATGCACAGTGTGCAGTTTTGTCTTAGGATAAACAAAAAGGGAGTGTGACTTGCTTTCAGTTTGTAAGGCTTACCAAAAGAGACGGGCTTCTGTGGGTGGGAGGGAAGTGGCTTGCCCTGTGGGAGAGTGGTCTGCCATCTCACTAACCACTGTGTCTCTTGACAGTTCAGCCCAGGGAGCTCATGTATCCATTTTGGCAGAATGACACCAAAACCCCTAAAGTAGATGATGGAAGCTCGCCTGAGATCAAGCTGGCCATCCCCATTTTCTTCTTCGGGGTCCCTTACCGCACTGTCTATGTAAGTGGAGGCGCAGCCCATGCAACTTTCCCCTTGTCGCTAAGGATAGTAAAAATACTTTCTTCCAGGGCTCCAGGAGTAGAGGAAGATTTATTGGCAGCCCAAACGACAGACTCTGAGGTATCCTGAACTGATCGATCTTGTGATTAAGGTAGTCAAAGGCATCTTTAATGGCTAATGTTCATAGTATACAGGACAATCCATTTCTTTTGTAGGTGATTAAACACAGGCGGGAAGCAGAGGCCTAGCACCATGAACATTATTTCTGCTGTTACAGGAAAGTGAAGCAACCAGACACCGAGGGATTCTGCAGTATGAGGTTTATTAACGTGCACGAGACCAGAGGATCAGTCTCCAAATTCTGAGCCCCGAACAAAGGATTCTTGGGGTTTATATAGTCTACGGGGTCTTCCTGTCTACGTAGCAAAGCAGGATACAGAAGCAGAATGTGGAAGTTAGTTCTAGCTACATGGCAGAAGCAGAGTACAAAGGCTAAATGCAGAAGTTAGTTCTAACCGCGGGGGTGCTAGTCCTAGCCCTTATGAATATCCTGCTGTAACTTGGCCCTAATACCGCTCTTCCTAGGGTGCTTGGGGTTTGGGTAAACAAAGGTTCTTCAAAGCTTCGTTTCACTGCCACTGGATAAGATAAAAAGATACAAAGAACCACAACAGGAGCAGTATCCTTTTTCTTCCACCCTGGGGGTGTGAAGAGTTTAAGTATCTGTTGTTCTTAGGCTTCCTTCCAATTTGAAGCAGAGTCAGAACATAGTAGACAGGTAATCAACTATCTTGTTAAAGTCATTTGCCAATTCGGCCACCCTCACTGGGTCTGAGATATGCTATAGGGCCCCATTGTCAAATGTGCGTGAAGAAATGGTGCTGTTGGCTGTCAGAACTCTCCTGGGAACCTATGTTCTCATGTTATTTTTTTGGTTCATTGGGTTTACTGCTCATTTAGACCATTGGATTTTGAAAAGGTTAACAGTAATTGAACCTGTTTTTATCTTTGGCCTTACAGAATTGGGTGTGGCTTATGTAGATTGTATCCTGTCCTATTGTAGTCTGGTTCCTGCCCTGGAGGAAGAAATGAGGCTCCAAGCACCTATACCTCTTGCCCTCTCTAAATCTGAGATACCAACGTTTGATTTACAACTCAGGGCTGAGTCCCATTAGAAAATAGTTTCTTGTTCTGTTGTGTAACCAGTGGCCCTCGAATGTGCAACATCAGTCACTAGGAACTGATTTCTTACTAGAAATGTCACTTCTCAGACCCCACCTTGGACCTGCTGAATCAGAAACTCTAAGAAGGGAACCCAGGACTTTTTGTTTTATTAAGCCCTCCAGGGGATTCTGAAGTCCACCTACACTGCAGAATGACTGATCTTGTCTACAGAATATAATTAAAACACAACAGCCATCGCTAGCTTCTTCTGCTGGTCTTTGTGTTTTAATTGCACCCAGTATTCCTTAGCAAAAACATTTATCTGGCATCTTGAGATGCCTTTTATGCTCTATTCACAGGAGAGCTTTCGTAGTCTGGAATAGCTGACTGTAAACTTCAGAAAGCGTTGACCTGATTTTGCAGATGAGAAAGGCATGAAGGATTTCCATTCTGGAAGCCTTAGTCTCACAGACAGCCGGAACAAATGCATTTAGTTAAGCTCCTTTCTCTTCCATGTGCTGTGTGACATGGAGTCTGAGAAATTCCTGTCCTTGCAGAAGGAATCCACCCTTTAATTTGGGGTGGATTTATTTGAGGGTAAATTGTTCCTAAGAGTTTCCAGCACTTTGAGTGAGCAGTGCAGCCTTTTTCAAGCCTCTGTTATTCACTATGTTATTCACTTGCAGACAATAGACTCAACATCCTTGTAGCTGGGTCTCTAGCTTCCTTTCCAAACTCCACACCCTTGCTTCCAAAACAGACTGATAGAGCCTTGGCCTGTGCACAGAAAACTTACTTTTGGTTCCATGTCCTTGTCAATGCACATACTATTAATAATTCATATGAACATAAAAGTTAGCATATACAGAAAATGATCTGCAGATTTTCTATATCAACAAGTTACAAGCATTTCCATGAGCATTTCTGTGTTAGCCACAGGCTGAAGTCAGCCCCACCCACTGACACACACAGCCTCAGATTCAGACAGGCAGGTTGTTTGCAGGCCCTATGTCCACAGAATGTACACACTGGCTTCTGTCACAGTAAGGTTTTGTAATTTACCAAATTTATGAAGCCATTTGCAAATCATGAAAAAATCACCATGAGGTACAGTAGAGCAGTTGTGACATCTGTAGAAGTCTTTTAAATGTCTCATCGAGAGCAGGATGTGTTTCATCCTGAGATCTCAGTTTGATGATGAAGTGTCTGATTTTCGTCTTTTTTCTGACACTCCCCACTTGTCATAAATAAAAATCAGGTCTAATATACAGCTTCTCGTTTTTTTAATTTAACTTTAGCTTCCCTGTTTTATTCCTTCAGCCTTTTTGTATCTCTGACTCTGGATCATCTTTATTGACCACATCGCCCAATCAGACACACTCACACAAACACACAGCTACACACTCATTCATGCAAAAACTCACATGCACACTCTCACATACAGGCACACAGCCACACACGCACTCAGACATACACACAACTAAGTAGCATTCGATAAATATAAACAGTTACGATAAAAACATGAAAATGAGACTGATTATTAGTAAGAAATGCAGTTGACTAAAAATTGAAAGTAAAGAAAACCAATGAGTTTGGAAGTAAACAAACCTCCTAGTTGAGCAATGTTTGGGAGTTCTAATTCAGTGGAAATTGTTTTTATTCACAGGATTAGGCAAATGTCTGTCTTGGGGTAGGACTCCAAAGTTGTCATGGCCTCAGACCCACTGTGCCAAACCTCTCCTGTTTTCATAGGTCAATAACAATGGAGTTGTGTCCTTCAACGTGCTAGTCAGCCAGTTCACGCCAGAGTCCTTCCCCTTGACGGATGGGCGGGCCTTCATTGCTCCGTTTTGGGCAGATGTGCACAATGGGATTCGAGGCGAGATCTATTACAGAGAGACCATGGACCCTGTCATCTTGAAAAGAGCCACCAAGGACATCAGGAAGTACTTCAAAGACATGGCAACCTTCTCTGCCACCTGGGTTTTCATTGTGACCTGGGAGGAAGTCACATTTTATGGAGGGAGCAGCACCACACCTGTAATAATTCACATTTTCTGTTTCCATTTTATATCCTAACATCTAATTATTTATTGTCTGTCTTCATTACTGAGAAGGAGTCTAATTGTTAGAGCTGAGGATGGTCCATTTCCTTGAGTTAAACTAATGAGTCTTGCCACTCATTTTCCAGGAAATAAGGTGAGATATACTTAAGCAGTCCAGTCAGCCATAGTATTTCAGAAGATCTCTAACCCCATATCACTGGTCATTACAAATGTGCAAACAGAACCCAGCCACAATTTTCTTTTAGCAGGTAGCACTTCTGTTTTGCAGGAAAGGGATCCAGGCACTGAGGCCTGATTCAGGCCGTGTGGGCAGGTGCCTATCAAGGACACAAAGGTCCTTGTATCTTGTCAGAGGTGCAGATGCCTCTCCTATTGGCTTATTTCCCTTTTTTTGTCTTTTTTCACAAAATCTGGCAGGACAAAAAAAAAAACAGGGTACTGGCTTTGGGAGCAAATGACCTGACTCAATTTATTATGTTATGACCTTTTTTTTAATTGTGACAGGGGCTGGCATTCCTATTTAATGCTAATTGGAGTGGGCGGTTAAAGTGTTTCCTGAATAAAGTTTTAACATCTGCTCCAAAATCCCAAATGAGCAGTCAAATAAAAGTCAAATAAGAAAGATTATCGCTGGCATTATAAGCAGAGATAATCAACTTTCCACATAAAGGAACAGAACGTACTTTTCACAAAAGCCTGAAGCTTATTTGGGTGACTTTGGCAGTGGAGATTTTTGAAGGAGCAGATGCATCTTCATTTGTATAATTTCCAATAAGCAAAGACACTAAAAAACCTGCCCTCTGCTTTCCTAGGATTATTTTCAATCCCATCTGTTTCCCAATTTCCTTGGCAATGAGTTGGCTGCTTGTGGGTGGAACAGAAACTGGAGCTAGAGACCGAGGTGGAAAGTGCTGGGCTAGCACCCCACAGCTGCCACTCAGTGTTTCAGCACCTGTGTTTCAGCACCTCCTGACCAGAGGTGCACCTGATCGCCAGGGGGTTCTGGAAAACAGAAACACAGTTTAAACAGGGGATGCACTGGCTAGAAATAACCTCTTCCTCTAAGGAAGAGCCCATTTTCTTCTGTCATGCTATGGCTTGCTAATGACTCCTTGGGTGATGTTTTTTGTCCTTTAAGCCTCATACTTACAGCGTTAGAATGTCAGATGCCTGCAAATGATACATTTTAGTGTTTGTGGAGGAAAAAAGAGAAGAAATGCCCAACAAACACTGACCACCAATTTTTTTAAAAAAACTTCTACTGGCAATTGAAAATGGCAAGATAATTTAGATACTTTCTGGTTTGTAATTTGAAGAAAATTTCTGGACTAAGTGAAAACTGTTTCAACAAGGATGAATGAGGTAAAATCTGAATGTTCTGAATTCCTTGGAAGAAAACATAATACAGTCCTCACAATTGCAGAAGTGCCTATCCATCCTGTCTTGAAATTGACCCCCTCTTCCAACTCCTCATTATCCCAGGTTCCCTCTTCTCTGTAGGAATATCACCAGACCAACTAAACACCAGGCATGAGAGGTCTTTAAGAGACAGAGGGTCTCATGGATACCCAATGGAAGGGGAAGGAGAAGACTAGTATTTATTGAAGGCTCACTATGAGCTCAGCTTTGTGATAGGCTATGTTTGCATATCATATGAGCCCTCACAAGAATGTTCCATAATAACCACTCATAATAAGGTGAAGGACAGACCCAGACAGGTTCCTTCTGGGCCCTTGCCAAAGTGGCAAGAAAAGAGATTTCCACCTCAGAGAAGGCAGAGCAGGGTTCAAATTGGTCTCCTAACTCTAAATCCTGAAGTTTTTCCTCCAAGTATATTAGAAGTCCTCTGGGGTATAAGAGGGTTTTTAAGAATTTGAAAACATAGTTTCACAAAAGGAGATCTTGGATGAGTCTCAAAACTGATGGCGGAAATGTATATGTGTGTGGGAGGGCCAGAGAGCTTCTGAGTGCCCTTTGGATGGCTGGTTGGTTTTGAGGTAACTTCTGGGATCTGAAATAGGTTGCTCTCAAGACCTGCTTGAACCAAAGATATTTCCAACTTTATTTCAGGAGAAGAAATTCACCTTCTGAAGGAGAAGCCCAGTCTACAGGAGGGTTTAGCTTTAGTCCTTGTGTGACCTTGACTTCCTGCCTCTCTTGAACCTGACCCTGCAGTGACCTTACAAAAATCCTGAGCTCACTCCTCTCTTTGTCCCACTTTCCTTTTTGATAGAGCAGAGCCAAAGCATGGAGGTATATACCTGGGTGACTCTATCACAAACACCATCAGCTGTGGCAACCACGGAGCTTGAGAAAGACATCCTCATTTACAAAGGGCTTTTCTCTCCTTGTACCTAGTCTCCCTCACTGGGAACTCTAGGATGGGCAGTTTGGGGCTTCCAAGATCCTCTACCCAAGTTTGATTACACAGGATAAGGATTTGGGTCTTTCTCTGAACCTGACAAAATGTTAACCAGGATAGTATCCAGTAGCTGAGGAAATGCAAGGTTTCAGTGGAAAAGGTTGAAGCAGCCCCTCCTTTTAACTCTATTTTAATTTCCTGGTAATGTGTCAAGGGGTAGGGATGAGCAAAGGAGGATAGATAGTAAAGGAGAGTTTGCCACAGCTTGTTTCCAGGGCTGTTTGCAAGGCTCGTTTGAATTTATATAACATCTCTGTCCCAAACAGTTTAACACTGAGACAGTATGAAAGGACAGTGTGATAAGAGATGGACTGGAGCTCTGGCTCCACTCCTGTTATCCGTTCCTGGATCATTGTGAGATGCAGCAATTCACTTCCCTGAGCTTTCACTTTTTCAAACTGTAAGATGGGACTGCCCCCCCCCACACACACAATTGCCCATCTTTGCGTTGGTGTGAGGTACAGATGTGTCCGATGATCTTGCAAATATAAAGTGATGCAATTAAGGAGCAATTCCCTGCCCCCCTAAAATGCTCTATAAAATCCCTTTCCAAACACCATTTTAATAAGGGGAGCCATCTCACCCAAATCAGTGTTTTCTGGGAGGTGAGAGACACAGTCAGTACCACTACTTCAGCCCTCTGTGGGCCCTCCACTCGCCACTCAATCTGCTCCAAGCAGGTGCTTGCAGCCCTTTCCCTGCCCAGACCATTTCCTACAGTTTATTCCAATGCCGCCATCTATAGGTGCTTGAGTACACCACAAACTGAGCCGACCTCTGAATTTTGTGTGGTTGAAGTCAGAAGTGTGCAGCAGCGCTGATGAGTCAGCTCTGGGTTACCCTCAGGCCATTTGTCTTTTAGGTGCTCTGTGGAACACAGCTCGTTTTTCCCACTGGAAGTGAGAACAAATCCCAAGAGAAGGTTGAGTGTGAGGGCTGGCGGAGCAGCAGCTCCGGCTGCCCTGGGGCAGGGGCAGGAAGTGCAGGGAGCCACAGTGCTGAGAGCAGCTCCCGGGGAGAGCGGGTGTGAGCCCGGCCCTTCCCATCCTTCAGGTGAACACGTTCCAGGCTGTCCTGGTGTCTGATGGCTCCTATACATTCACACTCTTCAATTATTATGAAATCAACTGGACCACTGGGACAGCCAGCGGCGGCGACCCCCTGACGGGCCTTGGGGGAGTGATGGCACAGGTAGGTGGTTCTCCGTTTCACCTTCCCCTGCACGTTTTGAAGCTGGGCCTCTGCTTCTATGCTTCCCCTGCCACCCACAGCCTTTAACCAGGTAGACTGAGAGGCTCGTCCTGTGCATCTGGGATACCTCGATCAGGGCGTAGCAGGAAGCAGGCAGGCCTTTCTCACCTGAAAGGGTGGCCCAGAGACTGCAGGGTCCCCTGATTTCAGGGGTGCTAGATTCTGAAAATAAGGTATTTGGGCAAGCTAACCAACGGGGGTAGGGTTCATGCTCAAAGTCCTGTCTTCCTTTTGTGCTCCAGGCAGGATTTAATGGTGGAAACCTCACCAATTTCTTCAGCCTCCCAGGGTCAAGAACCCCGGATATTGTGAATATCCAGGAGACCACAAACGTCAATGTTCCAGGCCGCTGGGCATTTAAAGTTGACGGGAAAGAAATTGACCCAGCCAATGGCTGCACGTCCAGAGGTAAAGGAGTTCCTCTTCCCTATAGCAAAGCAGAGTCTGTTCAGTTGAGCTGGGGAGGCAGGCTTTGCAGCCCTGGAGCAGACACATTTCGAGGCTGTTCGGTTTTGACATCTCTCAGCTGGGTAATGGAAGTCAAGGTAATGTAGCATGCATATTTATCAGACCAATAACTAAAATCCTGCATTTGCATTACTGTGGTTTATGAAGTTCTTGCCTGGGGTATGAACACAGTTCCCCACTTGCAACAACTGCAAAGGAGACAAGGATCTTGGATGATTTCTCAACCAGAGGGACAGAAGGGAGCCATTCTGTTTAACATCACCGTTGTTGTCATTTCCCTCCTTTAATTTTTTCTCTCATCTTCACTCCTGCTCTGCCACTGGCACTTTGCAGATAAAGAAGTTGGCAAACTTGGAGTGTTGCCTGGTCTCTACAACAGTAAATCCGTGTTAGACTGTACAACTAAGAAGAAGGAAAAAAGTGCTATAGTCTTTAGGGTAGCTCTGCCTAAACTCCTCCCAGCAGCAGCAAAACCTGTAGGAGCTTGGGGAGGCTCAAGAGCGGCCTAAGGGCTATCTGTGTGCACAAATGCAATTAGACCCCAGTGAGTTCCCTTTACATCAACATCCAAAGTTTAGGGTCCTTTCTGAATGATCAGAAACTTTTGGATGTGCAAAAAGCCCAGGGGTCTCACAGAAACAGCCAGGTTTATAGATACCTGCTTCCTATATATACAAAAGTATTCTAGAAACAGGATTTCTGTTCATATTTCTGCTCCTAGGAGTGGAGACTAGAATCAGTAAAGCAACCCCTGCCCCCATCCATTTAGCCATCCAGCCATTGCATGTTTCCAAGAACAGTTTGAGACCCAGGAGTTGCTAGCTGTGCTGTTTGGTCTGAGGAAAAAGGTGCTCTCACCTTCCCTGAGGCCTGGCAGAAGAGAATAGTGCCCCAGGAGCAGTGAGGTTAAGGTGTAGGGTGCAGTGTGGTAGACGTGAGTGCAGGGCGCTAGGGAAGGGCAGAGGGTAGCTCTGGGAAAAATGTTTTCAGATCTGTAAAGAAGTTTTGGAATGGGATGAGGATTTCAGGAAGTCTCTTGCTTCCTTAGACAGAAAGCCTGGCATGGTGACCTGCATGTCTCTGCAACCCCAGGGTCACAGGTTTCTCTTTTGGCTTGGGTTCAAGTTGTACAATATGCAGAAAAGCCATGTTCACCTGGTCCAAACCCCCTATGCCCTAGGCCTCTGGTCCCTGCATTGTGGTCAGGCTCATGACCCCTCTGCCTTTGCTGTAAGAGAGAGAAGGTCATTGTGAAGGGGGTCTGCCTGGACATCTTGGCCCTGCAGACTCTGCGAAGTCCTCCAAGTTCAGAATAGCAAAGATCTTAGCATGAGACTGGTATTAAACCAGACAGAAAAGAATCTAGCTCCAAGGCCCACCAGGATTTCAGAGTTTGAACCCTCACTCAGGTCTGTGAAAAATACCAAACCAACACCCCATTCTCTCTCTTCCCTTTATGGCCTGGACTGGAGATCTGCCCAGCCCCACCCTTCCCCTTTGTCCAACTGTCACCATGCTGACTGGCCATGGCTGTGCAGCTCAAGTGACCAGAGACATCTTCTCAGCTGGGTCCTGGGTGGGAGTCAAATACCATGCTAACAGGAACATTGGCTTGCAGAGCTATGTGTTGAGTAGATGCCAGCTGTGTAGAGCCCTCACTTTGATTTCACTCTTTTCCACCTGAATTATGGGTTTGGGTTTCACATACAGGACAAACTCAATATCCTTATCCAGACTCCTATGTATTTGTATGTTCCCCTGGACATACACCAATCTAAGGAGAGTGGGATTTGGCCTGGTGATAGCAGATCTGGTTTATTATATCATCATTTTGTAAAGAAAATCATCTGAGAGAGTTTACCTTTTTATCCATACCTCCTCTATGCAAAGGCATTTACCTCTCATTTACTGAATTCTGAAAAAGCAGTGACTAGAAATTACACTGAGAGGAGGCTGTTACGATATATGCAGTTGGGACCAGGGGCAAAGGGCGCCAAGGTTTGAGGGGCTTTTCTCAGTGCTGATGCAAATGACTGACTGGGAATGTGAATAAATCTATTATCCCATTTTGGGACCCTGTGCTCACCAAGTATGAAACCTAATTGCCTGATGAGATACAATCATTCTTAATTCTATGGGAAATTCTTAATCTATGGGAAATGCCGTGACACACAGGAAGACTCTGTGTGTCTTCCTATTGGACACACAGAGAGAGGACTTTGGGGAGCAGCCATGCCTTCAGCTGGGGTTAACCTTGCAGCTTTGTGCTACTCACTGGGTCAGCGGTGTCAGACTCATTTTCACCAGCAGTCACATCAGCCTCGTGGTTGCCTTCAAAGGGCCAAATGTAATTTTAGGACTGTGTAAATGTAACTACTCCTTAACTAGGGGCAAGGAGCTAGGCACTGCTGCCAGGTAGAAACAAGATGCCAGGCCAGATAAAACAAGGTGAATGGCTGGATTCAGCCCACCAGCCTTATGTTTGCCATCTGTGCCCTGGGTAGTCAGTTTTATAAAAGCATGAGAAATCTTTTCAAACTACAGTTTCAAACTATAGCTACTTCTGGTCTACCACATTATTTATATATCTTAATGTTGTGTGTTTGATGCTTTCCTTTTCGAGATTCTCACTTTACAAATGCCCCATCTCTGTTGGTGGGCACCAGCTTTGTAGAACATCGCTGTGCCCCCTGAGGCAGGGCTGAAGAAGGAACACTGTCCACATTTGCGGGCTAGAGAACCGAGACTGATGGAAACTGAGTCAGTAGTCACAGCAGTCAGCTGCAGAGCTGTGACCGTTGCCTAGACCCCTTGACTCCAACCCCCAGCCAGGGACTGTCACAGCTCTCAGCCCTGAGTTCTCCTAGTGCCATGGAAGATTGATATTAACAACTGGCAAATTTCAAAAGTTTTGATGGGGAAGATCATTTATTTAGGGAAATGTCTTTAAAGACTGATTGTCTACCAAATAAATAGTAGTTGAATACTTAAAAAATGAGCACATCCCTTAAAACTATGTCCTTGCCTCCAACTCGTTCTCCTCCTGTCAGGAATTTCTGTCCAGCAGATAAAGGGAGAAAAGTGCAGGGCTTTGCCAGGGCCTAGAGTGAGAGGAAAGATAAGCTGTACAGACATAAGTTTTGTTGAAGCAGCATCTGCAGGATTTGTGAACCCTGGAAGATACCAAGCAAGAGGTCAGCCCTTCCTAGTGTCTTCCCCAAAAGACTGGGATTATATTTGTACATCTGCCCCTGGATTCATGCTATTGCCCTTTTCTGCCATACACTGTGTTTCCCCCAACAAATGTTTGCTGAGTGAGTAGATGGATGAACGCGTGAACAGTGTTGCTGAGTTACCTGGGTAAGCTGAGTCTTTCATGGGATTACTCTTCCTCTTATTGCTGAAAGGAAGGCTATCACTCCTGTGTGTCACGGCATTTCCCATAGATTAAGACAATGTGTCTTTCCTTGAATAAGAGTGTGCTCACCCACGTGGAAAAGATCATGCCAAGAGCTTAAGCTGGATTCAGACAGACACACTTGGAATCCTGACTTCACCACTGAGTTGCTCAGTGATCTTGGATGAGTTGCTTGAAATCTCTTAAGCCTCAGTTCTCCACTGGCCAAGAGAGGGCAACAATACTTACCTCATAAGGTTCCTTTATGGATTAAGTGGTAATAGTGCAGGTCAAGTGTTTAGCCCAATGCCTGGCATAGAGGTAGGTACTCAGTAAATGTTGGCTCTAATGTCATTATTCTCCAGGACAGTTCCTTCGGCGAGGGGAGGTGTTTTGGGAAGACCTGAACTGCACCATCAAGTGCCGCTGTTTGGATTTCAACAATGAGATCTATTGCCAGGAGGCCTCTTGCAGTCCATTTGAAATATGCGACCCCAAAGGCAAATTCTTCTACTGCAGCCCTGTGGAGACTAGTACGTGTGTAGTGTTCGGAGAGCCACACTATCACACTTTCGATGGCTTCCTCTTCCACTTCCAAGGCTCTTGTGCCTACCTGTTGGCCCGGCAGTGTTTGCAGACTTCCAGTCTCCCCTTCTTCAGTGTGGAGGCCAAAAATGAACACCGGGGAGGGTCAGCTGTCTCCTGGGTGAAGGAGCTGTCTGTGGAGGTGAATGGCTACAAGATTCTCATTCCCAAAGGAAGCTACGGAAAAGTCAAGGTGAGACACCCTCTGTTCTTCACAGGGAGATGGAGAAGACAGTTGCTGTCTGTACTGAAGAGACACATGGCTCTTCCTGCCTTGCAAAGACACCGTGACATTCTCTGCTAAGCTAAGTTTTATTTGTACAACCTAAGCTCCCTTTTTAACATGTCTGTCTCTGCTGTTTATGTTAAAGCACAATTTACATTCCTGATTCCCTCATGGGCACTGGTACATTCATACACACAGACACACACAAGTTCAAGCTCAGCGCTAACTGGGAAGACAGGTAAGTTCAGTTTCTCAGTACAGACTTTGATGAACCACTCTCACCTCCCCATCCCATCTGCCCAAGAGATGCTGCTGCTTCATTCTCCAGGATGCCTCCCAGTTGATTGGTGCCTTCTGATGCACTGCCTGTGTAGGCACCTGCAGAGGGTTTAGTGACCCTCTAGAGAGGCCTGGGTAGGAAGGATGTGAAAGCTTTGCCCAAACATCCCTTTCCCGGATCCCTCATTCCTGTCTGCAAGAAGAGAGAAGGCTGTGGCTGTCTTCTGGTCTGTTCAGTGCATGCAAATAATACTTGTCACTGTCCACCTGAATTTCAAGCAGGCACATTGGCAAGAGAGGCAGAGTGAAAAGCCACTAGCAATTACTCACTATGTGGAGGCTTCAGCTTTCATAACATTGATGTAGACCTATTACAATCATGTATTTAATCAAGCACTAATAACCAAGACCCCAAGTGGTTGTTTGCTGCAAGCCATGCAGTCCAATGGAGGTCCTCAGAGAGATCACAGAGCAGAACTTAATCTGAAGCAGGGAGTTCTTTCTTCTTTATAATGTGTTGTAGTTTTAATTGACACAGCATGTTCAACGAGATGCAGGATCGAGGAACTAATTTCACTTTTACTGGTTCTGCCCTTCCTAGGTCTTTGGAGCTAGTCTGTGTTGTAATTAGAAAAATGAGCTATTACTGTGGTTGCTATTTGGTTAGTCTTCCTAGGAAGAATTCTCTATTTCAAATCGAAGGTAACAGTTTGGGGACAGAAGTTTGGAGACTTTCCTCTTTAAATTTATATTTTGCTGTTGGGCACAATACTTATCCTTGTAGGTAGATGCTAATGTTTTCAAGCTAGAAAAATTTTCACTAGCTTTCTTTTACTTCCTGTGTTGTGGGATGATGTGTGTAATATCTGCAGTTGAAAAAGAAAGCTTTGTGCTTTATTCCTGCTTTCCATTGTCAGACTTTTATTTTTTGAAGGAAGGGGGCACTGACATTCCTTTTAGACCCTGCAGCTCTGCTAATTTTGTGTAGCTCTTTTCCATCTTCCAAGTTTAGGGCATCAATTCCTCAATTTTGTGTAGCAAGAGGGAGAAGTGGATGTGAATGTAAATGTGTCAGAAAGAAAATGTTCTGTGACTCCAGCTGCCAGCTAACAATGGCTTCCTTTTCCTTTGGCCAAATGGCTTCCAAGTTTCTCTGAATAAACCTCCTCTTCTGGGGAGCGGATAGGTGGAGGATAACAGAGCTCCCAACCAGGTTGAAGTGGGGACAGGGCGCGGGATGGGAAGCAAGACAGAGTCTGATACGCCTGCAAGGGAACTGACTTCTTCAGATGTATTGGACCAGGCCAGGGGAATGTCCTTGCAAACTAGAGATTTCCTGTCTCCACATGCTGGGCTGAGGAGCCAGGTTTCACGTAGAGATTTCCCCCTTTGAACTATTTCACATAACAAAATAGACAAAATAAGCCATCTAAAATCCATGTATAATAAGCATGGCCTTGTAGCCAATACTTGTCAGTTTTCCTATTTCTCCCCCAGATACATCTGGGCAGTTTGTGCTCCAGTGAAAAGCACTGTGACCACGCAGAGTACAGTGACGAGGAGCTCAGGCTCTGGGTCAGAGTTGCTCCATCCCTGAGCACCACTGCCCTCTAAGTGGCCTTTTTGAGCTTTATTTTCTCCATTTGTGAAATGAGTGACAGCACCAAGGAGGCAGGGCTCTGGGGCTGTAGTTGGCTGCCTCTCCTCAGTCCTGGGAGAGAGAGAACGGGGAGCAATGGAGGGCACAGCACAGAAGCCCAGCCAGCGAGAGGCAGGCTGGCCTTATCACCCATGTCACGCAAACCTGAACCTTAATTTCTCCACCTGTGGAAGATGGAGATGGCTGGAACATAGAGAGAGGAAGGGGAACACAGGGGTGAGATTCATCAACCACAGTTAATCAAGAGTGAAGGGCAGACTGAAAGAAGGACATGAGATTCGTGTGTGGGGGTAAGAGCTCCCTGGGAGCTCCTGCTTTGAGCACTGCCAGCTACAAACACAAGGACTCTGTAATGCGTGATTTAAACGGAGACGTGTGAAAGCAAAAGGAGATGCGGTGAACTTACGTCATGAAAAAAGCTAAACTGGCAATACCAGTGCCTACGGTTGCCCAGTCAGTCTCAGTGGGACAAGATCAAATGCAGAGAAACTTTGGGGGCTGCTGCAATATCCAGAGACAGTCTGACAGTCTGCCTGTGGCTACTGCTCTGAGACAAATAGCAGAAGCTTAAGTAAGAGAAGAGCATTTAGTAATGGACGTGCAGTTGACCCATAGACATTGTGGGGGTCAGCACACCTGCACAATTGAAAATGCACATATAACTTTTGAGACCCCCAAAATGTAACTACCAATAGCCTACTGTTTTCTGCAAGTCTTACCGATAACATTAACACATATTTTATACATTATATGTATTATATGCTATATTTTTACACTAAAGTAAGCCAGAGAAAAGATTAAGAAAATCATAAGAAAGAAAAAGTAAATTTATAGCATACACTGAAAAAAATGCTCACATAGGTAGATCCACACGGTTCAAACCCATGCTGTTCAAGGGTCAGCTGTACTTGGGATTAACAATTATACCAATGTTGGAGAAGATTTCGTTATTTACATCGCAGCTTAGGGCAATATGTAGTTACCATCCAGAACTCTTACTAGTTGACCTTTAGCTCCTAAGGTTATTCTTTCTATGCCTAAGTCTCTGTTGTTGGATGGCTTATTTCTTTTTTTAATCGAATTTATGGGGGTGATATTGGTTAATAAAATTAAATAGATTTTAAGTGTACAATTCTATAATACATCATCTGCATTATAGATGCATTGTACTGTGTTCACCACACAAAGTCAGGTCTCCTTCCAACACCATTTATCCCCCCTTTACCCTTTTCTACCTTCCCCACCCGCCCTTTCCTTCTGGTCATCACCATACTGTTGTCTGTTTCTATAAGGTTTTTTAAATACCTTCACCTTTTTCAGCCCCCAAACACTCCTCCTCTCAACAGCTGTAAGTTTGTTACCTGTATCCATGAGTCTGTTTCTATTTTGTTTGTTAGTTTATTTTGTTTATTAGATTCCACATATAAGTGAAATCATATGGTATTTGTCTTTTTCTGGCTGCTTTACTTCATTTGGTATAGTACTCTCTAGGTCCATCCAAGCTGTTGCAAAAGGTAAGATCTCTGGGGGTTTTTTTCCGGCTAAGTAGTATTCCATTGTATAAATGTACAACAGCTTTTTTATCCACTCATGTAGTTGATGGACACTTGGGCTGCTTCCAAACCTTGGTAATTGTAAATAATGTTGGAATGAACATAGGGCTGCATATATTCTTTCATTTTTTAAAATTTTTATTTTATTTTATTATTTTTTAAAATAGTTTTATTTAGTTATTTTTCAAGTACAGTTTTTTGTCTATTTCTCCCATCCCAGCCCCCCCCACGCCATGCTCCCCACCTCCCTTCCATTTCCACCCCCCTTAGTTCTCGTCCCTGTGTCCTTCCTATTTGTTCCTCCAAATCCCTCCCCTCTTTCCCCCTTAAATACCCTTCCCTCTCCCCTCTGGTCACTGTCCCCTTGTTCTCCATTTCAATGTCTTTGTTTTTATTCTGCTTGCTTGTTTGTTTTGTTGTTTAGCTTCCTGTTAAAGGGGAGATCATATGGTATTTGTCTTTCAGCACCTGGCCTATTTCACTCAGCATAATGCTTTCCAGTTCCATCCATGTTGTTGCAAAGGGTAGTAGCTCCTTCTTTCTCTCTGCAGCATAGAATTCCATTGTGTATATGTACCACAATTTTTGGATCCATTCACTTACTGATGGGCACCTAGGTTGCTTCCAACTCGTGGCTATTGTAAATTGTGCTGCTATGAACATTGTGGTGCATAGGTTCTTTGAAATTGATGTTTTAGGATTCTTAGGATACAATCCTAGCAGTGGAATTGCTGGGTCAAAAGACAGGTCGATTTTTATTTTTCTGAGAAAATTCCATACTGTTTTCCATAATGGTTGTACCAGTCTGCAATCCCACCAACAGTGGACTAAGGACCCCCTTTCCCCACAACCTCTCCAACATTTGTTGTTTGCGGCTTTGTTTATGACAGCCATCCTGACTGGTGTAAAGTGGTATCTCATTGTGTTTTTAATTTGCATCTCTCTGATAGCTAAAGATATTGAGCATCTCTTCATGTGTCTCTGAATGTTCTGTATGTCCTCCTTGGAGAAGTGTTTATTCAAGTCCTTTTCCCATTTTTTAATTGGGTTGGGTGTCTTCTTAGAGTGGAGTCGTGTAAGTTCTTTGTATATTTTGGAGATTAAACCTTTGTCTGAGGTATCATTGGCAAATATGTTTTCCCATACAGTTGGTTGTCTTGCTAATTTAATACTGTTTTCCTTAGCCACACAGAAGTTTTTAATTTTGATGAGATCCCATTTGTTTATTCTTTCCTTTACATTCCTTACTCTAGGGGACATATCAATAAAGAAGTTCCTGCGTGAAATATCTGAGATTTTCTTGCCAATGTTCTCCTCTAGGACTTTAATGGTGTCACGACTTACATTTAAGTCTTTTATCCATCTTGAATTTATTTTGGTGTATTGTGTAAGTCTGTGCTCAAGTTTCATTTTTTTTGCACGTAGCTGTCCAGTTCTCCCAACACCATTTGTTGAAGAGGCTATCTTTACTCCAT